AGAGAAGTCTAGTCTAGAAAGAGAGAGAAAATCAAGAATTTCTTGATGAGAGTTGGTGATTATTGATAAGAGTTGATTAAGAATTGATCATTAAAAACAGAGGTTTAAGGACGCTACTTATAATGAAAATCAGCCGGATTATGATAAAAAAGAATTAGAGTTTCGAAAAGAATAAAACACGACGCTGTTGCCGAACACACGCCTGTCGCCTGACGACAGGGCTGTCGCCAGACGTGTTGCCAGACGCCAGGCCTGTCGCCAGGCGACAATTTGTAGCTGCGGCGCTGCAATGTGTTTTCCCATGCTTTTTCTTATTTTGATAAAATTTAAGCGTACGAGGGGGTATAACTGTAATTTCCTTAGAAACACTTCTTTTATTCTTAATAAAACTCTTAAAAGTCAATTTGTCAATGTTAATCAAATTAGGATTCAAAAGAACCTTCTAGAAGATTCTAGAAGACTATAACCAATCCTTATTGCTTTAGGAATGATGAATCATATTAGGCCCTCCTCTAAATCATTAGGCCACATATAAAGATCATACCGAGTCCAGTTTAGTAATTTGGCCATAACTTCCTCATTATTAATTGGAATTGGGCTTATAATATATCGTTGGAAAGCTCTTTTCGATCCCAATCCAACTACACTATTATTGGACCCTTGCTATGGACCAAACTAATCTGGATTGACTATTTTTATAAAATAGGTTTTCAAAAACAGAGAGAAAGAAAAGAAATAAAAACTAACTGCAACACTAGACTTTCCACTCTTTTACCTCGTTCGATTATGATTCGACGTGAAAGGTACTCATCACTGGATTTTTTTTTTTGGGGGAGACACATTTGGGTGTCTACAGCAGGCGCCGACAAAGACTTGGCTGCTATAAGGAATATGATCAAAGGCACAAGTGGAGGTAAAAATCCAACCAAGATATGGTGACATGGTGTGGAGCGTTCATACTACATAATGCGGTTAAATGGAGTAGTTTGTTCTGAAAGATTATTGTCTTTGTAAATGGTTTAGACATTTTAGTCACCTAAGTAGTTAAGTAGTTCATGCTTTATAGTCATCTTATTTCAGGGCGCGTTATAGTGTTTGGATATCTAATATTCTTTAGTTTATTGAATGAGATTATAATATGTTTGAATTTTTATAATTTTTCGGTTTTACTGAATGAGGTTCTAATATAGTGTTTGATTTTTATAATTCTTTGGTTTTACTGAATGAGATTCTAATGAATTAGACTTCATTTACCAGAAAATGATATCCAAGAGAATAAGGTAGTTCTAACATTTCAATTCAAATTGGATTTTTTTTTTTTATCTCCGATTTCTATTTCTAACGTTCCTTTTGTAGTTCAGTTGTGGAATATATTTTTTGTGTTTAGATGAATTCCTTTAGGATATAAATGTTTTTCATGAAATTGAATGTTCTCTCTCTCATTTTCCGTTGTCATAAGGGGTGTAAAAGAACTTTTCTATCAAGGGAATATGAGCTCTTGTATGGTTGATTGTTAGGTGAAAATCACTGTCCTCCAAAAAGAATGGAAAATTTTAGAATAGTCATTAAATAATTATTGAACCATCATATGGATTATCTTAATTTTTAACAATGAAAAACAATGATTTTATTAAAAAAAAAGGTTTAGGATGCACTTTTTACTTTATTTAGAATAATGTACTAAAGTTTATTTTATCCTTTCTTGCAAGGTAGTGATGGTGATGGTTTTGAGGTTTTTTTTTTTCCTTCACTAGGTGTTATATGAAGGAGTTTTTAAAATTAAAATAAAATTTAAAAGTAGAATTAAAATGAGGCCTCCAGTGAGGTTTTTGGCTTCACATTAAAACTAACTTTTTTATTTTATTTTATTTTATAATATAGATATGGATATGGATTTCTCTCTTGCTTACCTTTTTTTTTCTTCTTTTTTTCCATCATTTTTTTCCAGTAAATCAAACAACAGAAAACTAGTTATATATTTATTGTATTTTCCATTGTAAAATGTTCTACATGAAAAATCATTTTTACATTGAAAATGTTTATCAGACGGAACTTAAGTCTACTAGTTAAAGTTTAGAGTGAACCCAAAGTCTATTCACAAAGTCTTATATGTTCTTGGCCACACGATGTGACCATTCATTATAAGGATTACTTCATTAGTGTTATAGGGGTTACTCGTTCAGTTTTACAAGGGTTACTTCGTCAGTGTTATAGAGGTTACCTAGGGGTTACTTGGTCAGTATTACAGGGGTTAATTCATCAGTGTAATAGGAGTTACTTTTTCTTTTACAAGTGGCCACATGGTACGGTGTGGCTGGCCGCACACAAGACGCACTGATACTAGTTTCAAGTAAAAGAATAGTGCAGCCGAGGTTTAGTTTGTCTTTCTCACAAAGGAGCTTTTGATTTCTCATGAGCTTTAACTATATTTAGTATAATTTTTTACTATACTAATTCCAAATGATTACTCTAATCAGAGAAATCTAATGTTCCAACCACTAACTGCTTGGAGGTTATAATCTGCTATTGTTTTCATGAGATCAAGTGTGATTGATAGTTTCTGCAATTGGATGACAGGTAATTATTTTACTTAAATTAAGGCAAATCTTTCATTGTTGCAAAAAAAACAGTATTACTTCATACAAAAGGAGTAGATTCTAATTTATAAGAACTACCCCGCTTGCCTGGTTTTCTAGTGAGCCAAGCAAAGAAGTACAATATTAGGCTAATACTATACTTAGTAAATAATTGGAATGACTACGATGGCAAAGCACAATATGTTAAATGGGGGAAAAGAGTCTGGCTTGAATTCTTGCACTAATGATGACTTCTTCTATGATTCTACTCTTCAAGACCTATTACAAGAATCCATATCAAGGCAAGATCTTTATAATACCTCTATAATCACATATTGTTACTTTCCTTCTGTTATATCATTTGTACTGTCTTATTTTTTTATTTTATTTTTCTACTGTAATATGACTTGCAGATAGTGCTGAACAGAGTCAACACCCTTACTAATGTCTCATACAAAGATGATCCTACCATTTTTGATTGGGAGCTAATTTAATGAATGAACCTCACTGCAACTCTGATCCCTATGGCGAAAAACTATAGGTTCATTTGCTTTGCCAATTTGTTCTTTATGACAGTTTACACATTATAAGCACCTTTAGCGAATGAATTTGTCATTTTTTTTAAAATAAACTTGCAGGGCTAAATACAAGAAATGGTTGCTTATGTGAAGAGCATTGATCCAAAATACGTGCTTGAAACATGAGATTAGCTGGAGAAACAATGAGAGACTACTAAAAATTCAATGATGACTTTTAAGAAATTGCATAGAATTACCATTATAAGAATACATACATAATATGTAGTACAAAACAATAATCAATCAATTCCTACATAAACAGGAGGATTTACTTGCACATATAAAGGCTTTCAAGCTTCAATTTGCACATTTCAACAAACTAGATAACATATACGCAGTAGAAACAAAGAATACTTGCATTATTGTATTGGGTTTGGGAACGTTTCTTCAACCCAAACATCCAAGAGCTTTTGGGTACATGTTTCAATGCCCCTGACTCGTAAGTTATAAACAAATTTCACTGTTAAAACAGACTGGAAAGAAATAAATTAAATCTGAGAAACAATATTGACTTATAGAAACACAAGTATCTAGCTTGTTTTTACACATCGGATCAGTCCTCAATCACTTCCTCCTATTATCACCGTGTAGATATTCTTAGTGTATACAACTCTTCTTATGGGATTGAAATCACCATCACCTTAATAGATACCTCGGAGATGGGTAAATTTATCAGCAGCACTAGAATACTTACAACTTTGTAACGACCCTTATTAGGAGCATCATTTTCCATATTGTCACGAACAAAGTAGTCATTCAATTCAAACCAGTCAGATTTACTGCATGTTGAACATGATCATCATTATTTTCATCAATTACATTCCCTTTAATTGAATAGGGATAGATGGGACAATCTATATATATGTGGAACTAATGTCATTATTGCAACTATATGTTTTCTTTTCTGTTTTTGATGAAGAATTTCAGTTGCTTGATCCCCCAATAACACTAGTGGCTCACTTATTGTGACTATCCTTGCATTTTATGGCCTTTCGATAGGGTGTTGTCTAAGACCAGTCCATTGGTTCAGATAATCCATTTCCAAATAAACCCCATGGGTGGCAATCCATTTCCAAATAAGTCATGGACGAATCTAAGTTAAAAGCAACGGGGTGAATTGAACTCACTTGTCTTTAACTAAAAATTATATGAGTTAAATATGCAAGATATAATATGTACGCAGTTATAAATAATTTGTTATTTTATAATAATTTCCCGTATTTTGTTAATGCATAAATGATTTTAAAATTATTTTAAAATTTCATATTTTAATAAATAATTTTATTTCAATAATAATACCGATAGATTACGCAAGCTTAAATTAAATATATATAATACTATATAAATATATTAGAGTTACCGTATTAATTATATGAATATAGAAAACATTTATGTACACCGAATTAATTATTAATAAAATAAAATTGTGCTCATAATTAATTTCATAACAAAATACATTGTTATTTCTCACTGAATTATATTTGTTTTTTAAGTCAATAGAAAAATGCATTTAAAAGTTTTTTTAATGATTCATATAATTAAATTTATTTTAGTTGAATAAATTTAATTTTTATAATTTGAACCTACTTATAAAAGTTGCTATACTCACCATTGTATATAACTACCTTAATATGGAGTCTATGCAAGTTAGAATATTGTCATATGAGTGAATAAGCTAATAATAAGTCAACTTATTTTCTGAACTACAAAGGAAATCACAAGATAACAAAAAATATTGCAAAATGAAGTTACATTCCTCTAATGCACAAATGTCGCTGAAATTAAAGAGAAAAAAAAAATTGTCTGAAAGAGACTTATATGTTAACTATTTTGTTTGGAAGGACCTTATATGTTCAAAGTGGTTTAAAGGACCTTATAAGCTTGTTTTATTGTTTAGAGGGACCTAAACGTCACATTCCGGTAATTAACTTTTTTACTCCGGCGTTGACTAGTCACATGATTGTCATGTGACTTACAAAAACTACCCATTCCTAATTTTTTCATGTTTTCTCTCCATTCTTCTTTCTCTCTCTTCTAATCCCCTAAATTTCTCTCTCCTTTGGTATTCTCTGAGGAATAATACATAAAAGAGTGAAGATTAAGTCCAGAAATTATTCTCTCATCTACCAAATTGAATTAGAGTTAGAGAAGAGAGGACTTTCTTGGCCCAGGTACGAATATCTTCTTCATTCTCTCTCATATGTTATTTTCATTTCCTCTTTTGTACTTCAATTTTTTTATCTTTTATTGGTCTCCAATGGCAAAAGGGAAAAAGGGGCAAAAAAGTGGGAAGGAATTTATCTTCTCTGTCCAAAAAATCTATAAAACTAGGTAAATAAACAAAATTAAACTTAATATTGCCGTGGTTTGCAATGTTGTTGATATTTGCAAACCAAAATTGAATGGTTGCATGCGTTTGTGTTGAATTACTTTATGTTGATTGGATTCATGAATTGAATATTTGTTTAATGTTGAAATCTGGGAAAGTATTTGTTTATTGTTGATTTTTTAATTGAAAATTTTTGTATGTTGAAAAGTTGCCTTTTTTTGGTTTATTTTTGGTCTGTGTGTTTTGTTTGGTTAGAATTGTTGTAAAAATTAGTTTTTCAAGTATTGAACTTGATGATAGGGTAATTTAAGTTGATGTTTTGTATGGATTAGGTTGTTGTGTGGTGTTTAATTAGTTTCATTCTTCTTTTAATTCAGGTTTAAATATAAATACCCAGCTTATAAAGTGATGGATCCTATTAACATTTGGTTGTTCTATGGGGGTAAATTTGTGACTAGAAAGGGGGTGACCACCTATGAGAAGGGTGATAGTGATTATTATGGTTGGTCATTACATCCTAATGTGGAAGAGGTTTGTTACTTTGAATTTGTGCATGGGGTTAAGACAGAGTTAGGCTACAAACATATGGGTCAGCTTTGGTTTAGGAAGGATAGTCACACTTGGTTTAATGGTAGGCAACAATTATAAGGTGATGAAGACATTATCGAATTTCTGTTTTCTAGAAAGGATGATGGATGGTACCATTTATATGTAGTGCATGAGGATCCAATTGTTGAGGATGATAGGAGACTGCTGATGTATGGACCTGATAGGGTGGGAGTTTACACAGATTCTTCTGATGGGGGGTCTAGTAGTTTGGGTAGTTTTTTTAATTTCTGATTCACTAAGAAGTGACTCAGCAACACATGGAAGCAATGTTGGAAGTGGGGCCCCGTTAAAAGATGTTATTCAAAACCCTAGATCTACTTCCTTATCCCTTTGCATTGTAAGTCCATAAAAGGTCCTAACTGCAGCTCTAGGGATGGCAATCTAGTCCGGATCCGACCCTACTCCGCCCTGATCTGAGGTAAAAAAAATTCGCTCCGAGTCCGAGAAAAAAGTAATCCGAGTGCGACTCCGTTAAAATAATTTGACTCTGAGTCAGAGGAGGGTCGGAGTCGGTCCTACAAAAAATCCGACTCTGATAAATGTCAGACTCTGACGGGTTATCTGAATCCGATTCCGATAGATAGTGGATTTTTGTGTGGGTCATGGTGGCATTGAGTGTGGGTAATAAGGCCCAAATAGCCCAATTTCTCAAAGTATATTAATTAACAAAAGAAACTAGGATTCGGGTCGGATCAAAGTCGGAGTCGAAGGCCGGATCGGATTTAGCATAATCCGCTTCGGGTCTGACCCGTTGCCATCCCTAAGCAGCTCATTCAAACCTTATCAAAAATTTGAATCTTCTCCTTCTTCTTCCACAAGTCTCATCATTTAAACAACATATACTCCAGCTTCTGATCATGTGAAACCTAAAAGAAGACTTAGAATTAAAAAAGTATGTTCAAACCAATCCGAAGCTCAAACCAATCCGAAACTAACCTCAGATTGAAATTTAACCCACCCAAGCATCTCAAAGTACTCCTCTTTGAAATTCTTATGACTTTGACACACTTAAATCTACTCTGATGAAACGATTGAAACCCAAAAGGAGACTAAGGAAGCATTCTTTACATCCCATTCTTGAAGTTGAGGTTGATGATGTTGTTGGAGAAGATGATGAATTAGAGTCAGAGTTTGATGCTAGGGAGTCTGCTTTGGTTTTAAGTGAGGATGATTATGAGGATCAAGATGCTGATGATCTATTTATTTGCAGCTAATGTAGATCTGCAGGTTAGTGAGATTGTGAAAAGAAGTTTAGTGGGGCTTAAGACTAAGAACAAGGAGGCTGAGGGAGATGAACAAGGAAATATATTGTTAGTGAGTGATGAGGATCTTAATGAAAGTGATGATGAGCTGACAGAAATACCTGGATTTAATGATGATGAAATTCAATATCTTGTTTTCAATCCAACTGTAGATTTTATGAAGAAGATTTCCTTCACTTTAGGCCTAATATTTTCTATCTGGGAAGGTGTTTAGGAAGGCATTACAACATCAAGAAATTGAGAATGGTTATAATTACAATTTTTTGCACAACAAGAGTCATAAAATAACTGTAGAGTCCATTAGGAAATCAAACCCAGGAAATGCTACAGTGGTACTTGGTGGGTACGGTATTGAAAACCCACCTCCTTTGTTCCAGAGAATTTATATTTGCCTACAACCCTACAAAGAGGGTTTCATGGCAGGTTACAGGCTAATATTAGGGGTTGATGGTGCTCATATGTAAGGGCTTTTCTCTAGGATATTGTTGACAGCTGTTGGAAAGGATGAAAACAATAACATCTTTCCAGTAGCTTGGACTGTAGTGGAAACATAAAATGCAGATACATGGGCCTGGTTCCTAGAATTCTTAGTGGCTGAAATTTCTTAAGATGCACAAGCAGTAACATGGGTTTAAGAGATTGAATATGATGTTACCTTTATGTCTAATAGGCAAAAGGTTAGTCTTTCTACTTATACACTTTAATTTATCTCTCATTTATGTTCATCATTTAACTTAAAAATGTTATTTCAATAGGGTCTACTACTTGATGCATTTAACAAAGTAATTCCCAATACCGAGAAAAGATATTGTTGTAGACATGCATATATGGTCCAACTTTAAGAACAAGTTCCCAAGGGAAGTATACAGAGAAGTTTTCTGGAAAGCAGTAAGGTCATCGGCTAAGGTAACAGATTTTGTTATGCATTGTATATAAGTTATTGCTTATTATTCAGTGTATATCGTTAAATCAATTGGGGATGTGTATTCTGTCCATCATCACTTTGAATCATACAAGGACGAGATTAAAAAAATTGAATGCAGCAGCTTTCAATTACCTAGATGATATTCATGTATGCCATTGGTCAAGACATGGGTTTAGTTCTAGGGTTATCTAGTATGTTGCTAAGCAATTGTTGTGAGAGTTTCAACAATGTGTTGAGAGAGGCTGCTAAACCAAATATGTCATTAATGGAGTGGATAAGACAATATGTTGTGAGATGTTTTGCTAAAAGGGAAGGGTTACAAAACTTTAAAGGAGTAATTATGCCCTTTGTTGCAAAAATGATTTAGAGGGGTCAAAAGATGGTACATTGGTAGCATAAGAATAACCCAAGCTGACTTGCATGAGTTTGAGGTTGATGATGATGGGGACACATTTGTGGCTAACTTGGAAGACAAAAGAAATGGGTGTTATAGGTGGACTCTGATGGGAATCCCCTACTGGCATGCATTGGCCTGCATAGAAAAGAGATGGTTGAACTATGAAGATTTGTTCACCCTGCCAACCATATTGCTACATATGCAGCAACTTATGCACCTCCGATCCCTTTCATGCTATGCCTAGAAAAAAGCAATGGCAGAAAGTACCTATGGCTGAACCACTACCCCCACCATTCAGTGTCATGCCTTGTAGAAAATAAAGAAAGAAAAAGACAGGTGAGCGAAAGGACAAGTATGTTAAGAGGCCAAAAAAAGAACAACTATAAAAGGTTTGGGGAATTGGGTCATTCTAGTATTTCTTTTTTCAAACCTGATAAACCAAAGGGTCCTGTTAATAAGGGTGGGAGACCTAAACAAGAAAAAATCAAGGACCATTTCAATCAACAACAGTTATAGCCTCTAGTTCATCAGCAGGAACATCTGTAGGTAGAGCTTCAGGATATGCAACAATAGTCAGGGCATTAGAAATGCAACAACATTTAGGGCATCAACTAAGGGTACTGGTGCAGCAGCATTCAGGCTATCAACTAGGGCTTTAAGTGCAGTAGTATCTAGGCCATTAACTACTGCTTCAGGAAGGGGACCTGCTGTGAGGAAGAAAAAAGAATCATCTTCATCTGGGGGAGCTGTTGCATCTCAGAACACTAAGAAACAACCTACTCCTACTGCCAAAGGCAAGAGACAGAATACAAGTTCTATGAATGCTCTACTAGCCTCACAACCATCTCAGCAAAGTTGTGTATCTTATGACTGATAGAATTGAAGGGTTTTCAAGCAATGTAATCTTAACTTTAGCTAAAAAAAACTGATATTTTGGTTAAGTAACTTATTGTCATGTAATTTCAGTTACTTTTGGATGATTTCAGTCACTTTTGGATAATTTCAGTGACTTTTGGATACAACGTATTCAACTTTGTTGTGGATAATTTCATGAATTTTTCTACTGCTATATATGTTTGAAATTTATATTTACATCCATTTTAACATATGTCATTGTGGCTATAATAATGTTACAAAATTCAAAAACACAAAAAAAAAAAAAAAATAAAGGCAAATTGAGCTTCATTGATTCATTCAAATCTTGAAATAATTACATCATATATTCATTCACTCTGCAATACAATTACAATTAATTAGACACATAACTTCACCACAATAAAACTACACACGATTTACATAATTACACAAATTAATATAATTCCACAATTTCCATAACTAATCAGAGATCTTTCAACACCTTCATTGCTCATGTTCTTCATCTTCTCATGTTCCTCAATCAACCTTCTCTTCTTATGTTTCATACAAGCAACCCTAGCCTTCAAAACACTCATATCAGTTGTCAATCTTTGTTTTTCAAATAGTTGAACATTAGTTACATCCTTCTACCACTCCAAAATATCCTCATCAACCCATTTATTGTAGTCACAACCCTTCTCCCCTGACAAGAAATTATAAAATTTGCAAGCTTTAAACCTTCTGCATAGATTTTCATGAGTCTATTATGTGCTTTGCACAAGAGGAAGGCCACAATTGCACTTGCCAATAACTTCCGTTTAGTCAAAAACAGCATGCTTCAACAACAAAAACAACACAATTTCAAAACTAATTGAATTATACACCCCAATTTTCCAAACAACTTAACTTAAGCTTAAAAGATTGGGATTGAAAAAAAAAAACGTAAGCATTGTTCTTACCTGATGCGAAAAGGACTTAATCGAAAGATGCTTGCTTGAATTTCTTCGAAAATTTAGGGAACACAATGTATTAGATTAGGGAACCTTGGTTCGTGAGGAGAGAGAAACAATTTGGGAAAAAATCTGGGCAAATAAGGGGAATTTGAGGGAAAGAAGGAAAAACATAATAGGGAGGGTGATTTTTTAATGTCACATGACATGCACGCAGAGAGTTAACACCAGATAAAAAGTCAAATGCTCGAATCCGGCGTCAAGGTCCCTCTAAACAACAAAACAAACTTATAAGATCATTTTAGATCACTTTGAACATATAAGGTCCTTCTAGACAGAATATTGAACATATATAAGTCCCTTCCAGACAAATTTTCCAAAAAAAAAAATCAAAATAAGAAATGGTGTTATACTGATATTGCTTTATCGATCCACTCGATCACCGTACCTTATACTTATTGAATACCCTCTAATTACTCTCTAATTTTGTTGCATCCTGACAAAAATGAGACAAAAAAAAAGGCAGGATAATTCTAATTACAGTTAAAAAAAATGCTTTGATTATATAAGTAGTTGGGCTTAATCTATATAGTTAAGAGTTTGTTATCCCTAACAAATGAACTAATACACTTTTATATGTTATATGTGAATGGCTTGTATGTCAGGATTCTGTTATTAATCTAAAAAGCCCTTGAAAAGCCACTATCATAGTATCATATCAAGAAATATATGGGACCAAAAGTAGCAAACTATAATATTAGGGGCTAGGGGTGCTAAAAATCTAGTACTAATTTTTTTTTTTTTAAAGAATGAAAAGCTACAAGTGAGTACAGTTAGGGCTTCCAAAAAAAAAAGTCATTTGATCTTCCAAGAAAATCAAGTATTAACGACGATAGCGTATGTAATAATCAAGTAAAGTTCGTTGCTATTCAAAAGATGGTCTTTTGAAGAAAAGACACATACCAGATTCAATTGCCAAGCGTTAATGTAGAATAAAAATGTAAGTTGTTATGAAGTTAATCCTAGTCAACATATTAGTTAGGATTATTAGTATAATTAGTACACTCTTGTAATTATAAGTTGTATTAGAGCATTATTATTCACTTTTGTGTAAGAAATTCTTATCAACTAGGGATGTCAATGAGGCGAGTTAGATAGGAGACCCGCCCCATTCCCGCACTAATGGATTCCACTTTGATAGGCGGTGGGGAGGGTATGGAGATGAACTTGTACCCGCCATAGGGATGAGGATGGGGATGGATTTTAAGTCACACTCGCCCCGACCTGCCCCACATTTGCACTAGACCTGGCAAACAGGTCATTCAGATCGGGTTCGGGTCGGGTCAATTTAGGTCGGGTTAAGTTCGGGTCAGTAAATGTCTGGGTCGGGTTCGGGTCGAGTCGGATCGATTCGGGTTTCGGGTCAGAATCGGGTCAACACTTCGGGTCAAGTTCGGGTCGGGTCAGGTCAAGTTCGGGTCGGGTTTGTTCGAGTTAGGTCAATTTTTAAGATAAATTTTCGGGCCAATTTCGGGTCGGGTCAAATTCGGATCGAGTCAATTCGGATCGAATCTATTCGGGTCAAGTTTGTGTCGAGTCACCAAAATAAATTCACTTTAAAAAAAATAGTTGGAAAAATAAAGTATAATCGTTAAAAAATAAAGTACTTGACCCAACCTGAATTGACCTGTTTGCCACCTGAATGACCTGTTTTCCAGGTCTACCTATTACGTAGGAAATAAAGAAGCCCTAAACTAAGTAATTCATTATTTCACCCTATTCACTTATGATTCGGGTCAATTCAATTCGGGTCAATCAATTTGGGTTAAAATCTGGGCGGGTCACTTCAGGTTTTGGGTCATTTCGGGTCGGGTCAAGTTCGGGTTTCGGGTCAGGTTATTCGGGTTGGGTCACTCCGGGTCATGTTCGGGTCGGGTCGGGTTAGTTCGGGTTTGGGTCATTTTCGGGTCAATATTTTGGGTCAACTTTTGGGTTACGGGTCGGGTCAATCAGGTCGGGTCAGGATTACCAGGTCTAATTTGCACTATACATATTAACTTTGTTTGCTACATTTGCATTACACATATTAACTTTGCTGTTTAGAGTCCTACGCGACTTTAATATATTATGTATTATATATGCATAATTTTAAGGTCTTTTTAGGTAGTTTTTGAGTATAGATTAGTTGTTCATAGCTCATATTGGCTTGATTTGGTTTGGTTGTGATTATCTTATGCTTTTGTGGGTAGATTCGTTGTTTTTGATAGATGTATTTTAGGATTTAATGAAGCTATTTGAAGGTTTTAATTTTACAAAGTTGCGGATCGTGATCATAGTTTGCAATTCACTTAGAAAGCCTAAATTTGAAGTTGAATTCATTTAAGGGCAATCTCTATCCAAAGACACCCATGTCACACAAAGACATGGGCGTGTAAGTGTGTTTTGAGGAGGCAGGAAGTTGGAATTTGAAGTTTTATATGAGGCGCGCCCATGTCGAGCCGAGTGTTTCAAGCTAGCAGCTACGTACTAAGGATGCATGGTCGTGTTGAATGCGGGCATGCCCATGCCTCGTCGAGTGAAGTTGGCTCAACGAGACCCGCCCATGTCAGAATTTGACATGCCCATGTCTCGCTGGAGATTTAAGAAATATTGATTCTGACTTTGGGCACGAGCATGTCCTATGTGACACGCCCATGCCTGGTCGATTTAGTCTGAATTCTTTAATGAATTATTCCTATATTTTAGCCTTATTATAAATACTCTTTAGCATTATAATTTTATTATCTATCATCTTAGAACTTTAGTTTTCTCTCTAGACATTATTTTCATTGTAATTCAAGATTATGCACTCAAGTTTCTTCGTTTATCTCTCGTAATTCAAGATTTGGTATTTTCTTATTCTCTTTAATTCCTTTTATTATTAATTATGTTTTCTTTAATTCTTGTTATTGTTTTCATTAATATGTGTGAGTAGTTTCCTTATTCTAAGATCTAGCGGAACCCAAATATGAATAATTCATGATTTAATTCTTTAAATTCTCTTATGATAATTGCAATTGATATGCTTGATGGATTGTGCTCACACTACAAAAATAAAGCTTTTTATCAACTAAGTTTGGCAACTGATTTTTAAAATGTTGCTAAATAGCAACGAATATAAATTTATTGCCTAATTAAAAGCGACATTTTATGCTTTCGTTTTTTTAATAATTATTGGCTACATGTTTTTGATTTGTTGCTGTTTAAAACAAATTGTATTACTAGTTGTTACTAGATGACATCATATTTTTCCCTTGTTGCCATATAGTAACAAATTATGGAAACAAATATTTTATTTGTATTGATTTAGAAACAAACAAAGGCAATGAATTTTTGAATTTTTGCCATTAGAAACAAGTCGTCTAAACTATTGTTGTTTGATAATAACGTATTTTTTTATTTGTTGCCATTGAAAACAAGTTGTGTTCTATTTTGTTTTTAATTTATATGTAAGCCACTTTTTGCTATTATGTATAAAATTATTTGAAGACACTCTTCTTATTATTTTTTGCTATAATGACATCAAATAGACTGATTTCGATTTCATCTCTAATTTAGAGACAAATTTTTTATTTCGTTCCTAATTTAGAAACAAATTTTTCAATTTCGTCTCTAATATTTCAATCACTTATGATAAATTATATGCATAGAAGTAAACAAATAGTACTTAGTATAGTTGGTAAGAGATTCACCATGTGACTTTGAGGTCACAAGTTTGACTCCTACCAATTGCGATTCTTGGGACTGGGGATTTAAAGAGTCTTACATGCAAAGTCGAGCCGAGTTGACTCGAGTAAGGTTTCAAATTGGTAAAGGTCGGGATCCGATTGAACCGATTTGCTAATAGGAATTGGGTTTTGTCTTGTAGTGAATGTTGATAGCAACCAATATTTATGATTTGTTGCTATTTATTTGAATCAACTTTAATAATTTATTGCTATTTTAGGAACCAACATTAATAATTTGTTGCTATTTTAGGAACTAAAATTAATAATTTGTTGCTAATTTTAGCAACAACCAATGGTAATCTGTTGCCAAAGTTGGCAACGAATACACCAAAAACAGCAACCATCATGGAAACTATATTTAGATGGATGCAATATTGCAACAAAATTGTTTTGCAACTGGTAGCCAAAATCCCATGACAACAAGCTAAGAAGCCTTTTATCAACAACAAATTTTCATTTCCAACTCGTTGCTATATAGAGTTGGTAACGAATTTTTGGTGAATAGCAACAAATTTTAGTTTATGCTATATTGACTTAATTTTGTAGTGTCATGCCAATATTAGATTAGGGATAATTAGTATTGTATTAATCCGTTGTTTTAATTGCAACTGGAGTTGGGTTTTGACGGGCTTGAATAAATCAATTAAGGGTTTGAAGTTCATCACGAGAGTAGTTGAATAGATGATTAGGAAGTTAGAGTAATGTGGTTAAAGTCTTTAATTACATAATTCTACGGAAGTAGGCTTGATTGTGATAGGGAATCTATTGATAACTCGGGAAAGATCATTGGTACTATTTAGGAATTACTTTTCTTCATTAATCAATTGAATTATATGTTATGGTAGAACGACTATTGCATTATTAATTGTATTCGTGGTGATGCTTGATCTTGGATATTTTTATCATTTGATTTGTCATATTACTTAGATATTTTTATCATTTAATCGTTTTAATTAGTTCTTTGGTTATTAATTATCACTATTACTTTGGTTACTTGCTTAGTATTTATTTGAGTCTGTTGAATTAGTCAAACCATAGTCTCTTTGGATTCGATCCTTTCTTACCTATCAACATAGTAGTGGTCTTGTAAGGTTATTTTTGCTAGGTACGCGACACGTCTATCAAATTTCTTATTTTTTAAATCAAGTTGTTGGGCCAAACCCAAACCATAAAACAAGTACAGACAATGGCGTTTGGATATCAGTGATTCTAGACTATAAATTAGTACGGATTTGGCGAGGATCCTGTGGGGATTATTTAATGGGGATGGATTTCCGCGCGGGTGATAGGGGGATGGTTATAGAATTGTATATATGGTGGACCAACTTAATATAACGGGTATAGTTTGGTTTCACCTTAGGCTATCCGTACCCATTAGTGTCTGTAATATATGTGGATATGTTTCAATTAGTATTATGTAGAATTAGGTGCACCATGCCCAATCTATATATGTCCAATAGAGAAAGCCCAAATGAAAAAAGGCCACATGGAGTTCAGTTTTTATAAAAAAAACCAACTGTTCCTCCTCTCTATCCGCCATATTTATCTTTAGTTCTTTTTAAAAAATTTCTCTCTCCTCTCATAAATTAAAAATCTTCTTCAATTATTTCTTTTTGTATTTTCTGTCTCCTCTCACCAATTTTCTCTCTCCTCTCATAAATTAAAAATCTTCTTCAATTATTTCTTTTTGTATTTTCTGTCTCCTCTCACCAATTTTCTCTCTCCTCTCATAAATTAAAAATCTTCTTCAATTATTTCTTTTTGTATTTTCTGTCTCCTCTCACCAATTTTCTCTCTC